AGTAGTTCGCTGGATCAATATGTATGAAAATGGCAGAGAAAAGAAATTAACGGCAAAGTTTTGGACAGGTGTTCATCCAGCAGTGGATCGAAAAATGCTGACAATGATGACAATGGCATAAGTACTTTACCGAACTTCGACAAGTATGTTCCATTCACTGAAGTAGACTACTATGGATTCAGAATGTGGACGAAAATCGGCAAGAATCACTCACTTGAAGACTGGCTCGAAACCACCTGTCAGAAAGACTCACTTTGGCGTGATTTAAAATAGCTTTAATCGGTACGCGATAAAGAAGGAGAGAAGTTCGTTCTGCATCGAAATATCATTCAGACGTCTGAAATGTGTTGAAAGTGGAAGACTCCACTGACCTGAACGGTGCTGTCAGCCCACAAGACACCTAGTCAAAAGCAGATGATGCAATAACGCCATGTGAATTGATGAAATTATGCATGCCAATCATTAGGCATCAATCATCAAGGAAAAAATGAAATAACTTAAGCTGTCAATAGATAAAATTAATTTTTAATAAGTATGTTTCCCAAAAACATTTAAAACAGTACTGTACATATGTTTCGTTGATTCACTATTTATGTTGTGTTCTCTAACGATGAATCAAGTGTCGGACACAACACTGGGCATTCTTAAAACGCTTGATCGTGGTGAGTAAATCGTTATAAACGATTATGATGAAAATTATGCAACTGCATGAAAGATTCTGTAAAATTTTTAGTGCAAACTTGATGTTTTAAATAACAGAAGTTTATATTTAAGGATGACTATATGCAATCAATTTCGACACTGCTAAAGTACAGATATTCAAGAGTCTTGGTGAACAGCCACCGCTTTTACAGACTGAAAGTTCACAGCTGCAGTGGTCATTTTTTCGAATGATTCCAGACTGAAACAGCTACTATTTGTCCAATCGACCAGCCGAAGGATCCGGAGGCGACAAAGAATAACCTCAGGCAACTGTATTGAAGGTCTTTGCTCCAAACAAGGGGTATCTTCAGGCAAAGCTCAGTCTCTGGCATAGAATCGGGAAAGCCGGAAGCACTGTCTGACGCATACGCCTCCGCGACCCGAAAGCATAAGCAGCCAAGAAAACTGACTGACTTTATGCAACCAGTTAGTCAAAATGAACGAGAAAGAAACTTAACTCCCATCTTTACGTCCTGACAAATAAATTTCGGCGCTTGAATGAACAATTTAAAGAAGCATAATACATTACGCTGTGATTTTCAAACCATGTATCGAGAAAACAATCAGTTGTAGAATCAACTTTCAGAAAAGATATCATGGTACCTAAACACAAACAACCGAGTTTCGATTACTCCTTGCACTCCTCCTGCCATAATGGCTTGATCCGGGTGACAATGGTGACGGTTTCTGAATTTCGTCTAGGGGAGAGGGGCAACGGAAAGATCATCTACTGACAACGGCCGGCTACTGCCGCTACTAGATGCCATTTTAATGTTCTAAACTTATTGAAGGCATACGTTCAGATAAAAATCAAGTAGACTGAGAAACGTAGAAAAATTAAATGGAACAAACGAGAAATTACCTGACGACGAAGGGATGTGTTAAGTGTCGAAAACTTCACCGATCGTGGGTCATTAAGGTACTAAATCAGCGGCAAAACAAGTTAGCGCAAAACCAACAAGTCACGTATTTTGATTTCGATACCTGCATGCTCTCTCCAGACTTGAAACCCGTTGATCCGTTGACAGTATCAACGTCGGAGCTGTCGATGTGACGCAACTCTGCGAGAAGGGCTTGGAAATTGCCTGTAAGAGAAACGAAGTAAGCAAGCAAAAGTAATTCCGCCTTTGGATTCAGCCTACCAGTGCTCTTTGAGCCCTGCGCCTCTACAGAAGAAACAGCCAGGTCTTGTTTATTGCCAATGATGAAATAAGTTTTCATATCTAAAAGTTTTCAGAATCAAAAAATATTTACACAAGAAAGTGTAGCACGTGAACATTGTATTTTTAAATTTCATTTAATTAACCATATTAAACCAGTGTTTGAGAAGCTAAACTTATTTTATACTGTTATATCAGAAGCCTATTTTTATTCTTTATCTCAGTCGAATTTGATAGTAAATTTGAGTAACAGACAGCAGATCACAGAATTCATAGTCGGAAGACCGTAAGCTAAACTCCCGACCAGGTTACTAGCTTTTCATTCTTCCAGTGAATGATGAATGAGCACAAAGTCACGAGAACGAAACAGAAAAACGTAGCATTTGCGAATTTGTACAAGACTGCTGCTAAAAGATTAACGTGACGGTTCTATCTAACGGCATCATAACAGGCGCCTGAGACAAATATTAGATTCGTTAGATGAGCCAGAAATAAAGCACTTCACGGAGACGCTGTTGCTGACGTCGCTGATGTAATTTAAAGCAAGCAAGGCTTGAGTAGCTGGTAACACAGATTTGTAATGTATGATTGTCAGCAACAGTCACCCATATAAATTAATGCTAGATAAACTTTCGCTTGTGGTTGATGTGGCAAAGGTCACGCTTCTAGTTACAAGTCCGGCGGCTGCCTCCATGAAGTGCTTCCAAGTCTGATATTGTCCCATAACGCCTGCTGCTGAGGGTTCATTCTAGGGAGCACTATTAAGCATATTTCAGTCTCTTTTAAATTTCTTGTATCAAACAAAGCTAAACGGCAGCCTCTGAAGTCCTCTGACAATTTTCTTTTGTTGATGGTTGTCAGCTACTGTTCGGTATGCCCTCCCCCCAGGCGCCTCGTAGCTAGAGGATGCTTCTAGGGCGATGCGGCTGGAGCGGTTCAGACAAATTTTCTGGCGTTTCAAGACTATTCTGTTTGCAGGCAGCATATGCACATCGCGAGTACGGCTGTTTCGATACGCTGATCTCTACTGCTATTCTTACTGAGTTCTGGCATGTAAATCGATCGTTAGTATTTCATACAACATCCCGAAAATTGCTAATGCGAATTCAGTGAAGGTGCAAAGGAAATTAACATCCTAACTTTCCTTTCCCTTTGTTCAAAAAAGCAGCCCCATGATAATGTGCAGTACGTTATGAGACATCTTACGGATCGCGACTTACAAGAGAAGTTTCTGGCTATTTGACTATCTGGTATTCTACCTATCCGGCTAGTTCTTTCAGCAACTGCAAATTTTTACAATCGAGTCATGCCGACTATCCAGGAGCACCCAAGGGCGGGGTGAGGCAGCTTGCTTGGACAGATCCATGACTATGTAATGATTCAAGGACGTCATCGCCAGAGGCTACACTTTGTCAGGGGTGGTGGTGGTGATGCTAATGTCGGCAAAGCGTTGCCGGGAAAGGAAACTGCCTGGTTTATAGTACCCGAGAGTCGTACTAACTTAGGTACGATACACTCATTGCTCAAGCAAAATACGAAATAACTTAAGAGGATGATGACACGTACCAATGCCCTTTGCTGCTAGTGCCATTTCGCCTGAAACAGAATACAGATTGAACAGCAGAGCTGCAGAGATTAGTTACTACCGACCTGGTTGAAAAAACGGAAAGTTTGTAACCGTTGGATCGTTGGCTTCTACTTTGAGTGCCATATGTGGTTTACGTTGCGAAGCTGATCTCAATTTTTGTGCTACGAGCTAGAATTTCCTTATTTTTATACGCAATATCTACAACTATGTGGCAACTACAGCGTTGGTTTTATTTCCCACATAATGTACTCATCATCTACTTCGGAAGTGACTCGATCGAGACTTTAGCTCACGACCTTTCAGCTGTGAGTCCGGGGCTCCACCTGACTCAGCAATTACGGTCTACCTGGTTAAAATAATATATGGACAATTTATGCAAGACAAAACAAGGTGAACGCTAATCGTTAGGATATCGGTTTCACTGACGCCTCTTTCATGTGGCTAATAGAATGACACCGAAAAACTCCGTCTCGATATTATCTGCTAGGAGTACCCTATTTATGAAGACCATATATATGTGGTTATGTGGCCAAAGGTTAACGACGTTTAAAAGAACCTGATGAAAAAACGAGACGAGCGAAAGATTCAATCAGAACAACTGAAAAAGACAGACAGTGAGAACGATCAGGAGAAAAATATCGAAAATTTTACAGGCTTTTTAACAAATGACGAATGGAAGCATGAAGAATTAACGAAATATGGCGCAGCGATCAATATAACGACATGGTGAGACTTTACTAGGCGAAAATTAGCTTTCCATTATCGATAAAGCTTATGCGGAGATTATACAGATGAGGTAGCGCATTTAAAACGAGACTGAACGTACTTTCGCACGGCTTAGCCTCCTCCAGTAGGTATTGATCGTTCAGATACTTAGCGGTGACCTCCGATATGTGAACCTTTCCAGGCATACCGGTAGACTCCATTCTGTTTGCCAGAGTGACGTCGTTTGAGAACACGTCGAATTTGAACCGCTTGGTGCCGACGATGCCGCATAGTACGGTACCCGTGTGGATACCGACTCGCATGTTTACGTCTTCACCTCGGTCTTTGTCGAATTGCTTGATGGCGGTGATCATATCCAGGCCCATTTTCACACAACACTTTGCGTGGTCGCTCCGCGGCTCAGGACATCCGGAAACGCAGTAATAACAATCGCCTGGAAAATCCAAGGGAAAGCATCAAAGTTTGCATAACTACATGACAATCACAGAAATA